GAAAAACAAACACCACATGTGCTCACTATTAAATTGGAACTGATCAGTTAACACTTACACATACATATAGAAATAACACTCATCAAATTCAAATAGGTGGGATGGGAAGGAAGGGATGGGCAAATCAACACCTAACAGGCACAGTGCATACTGTAGGGGCCATGGGTTCATGTACCAACTTTGACTCAATTGGTACAAAAGTGATTTATGTAACCAAAACCGTTTCTCTTGCCATCTTTTTCTGAATTTCTTAAGAAAGTAACATAGGTCGAGCACAGTGGCTCACACCTATAATCCTAGCACCCTGGGAGGCCTAAGCAGGTAGATTACCTGAGCTCACAGGCTCAAAACCAGTCTGAGCCAGAGCAAGACCTCATCTCTAAAAATAGCCAGGCCTTGATAAGGGTACGTGTAGCCCCAGTTACTCAAAAGGCTAAGGCAAGAGAATCACTTGAGCCCAAGGTTGCTGTGAGCTATGATGCCATGACACTCTACTGAGAGCAACAAAGTGAGTGCTTTTTCCTGTCTCAAAAAAAAGCAAGAAAATATATCGAGAAATGAGTATACTCATTCTAAAAACATTGTTCACAGACTATATAACATGCAAAGAAATATGAATTGGAAAACATGAAATCTAATGTTCATAATTAGTAGCCATTTCATTGCAGGGACACCTTGTTTAGAATTAGTTAATATTTTAATTTAATTGTCCTCAAGAAAAAACAAGAAATAACTTTTTTATAATTTTAAACATACCTTGAGCATCTCCAGTTCTAAATCTTCATCACTTTCAATTACATAAGAAGTATCTATTTCACTATCCTTGGGAGATAAAGGCTTTAAAAAAAAAAAGTATTTCAAAAATTAATTTCTTAATTTCTAGTACAACTGAGTCCATAACATTTGTTTTCTGCAAAATAAAGCTCCTATACACTAGATATCTTTAGACAACATCCTCTGCTCTAATATGTTGATAAGTTTATAATTTTGTATGGTTTTGTTTGGTATGGTAAGTAGACAGGAAAAAGGGAGGAGAGAAGAACAAAGAAACAACCAAAGAGAAAAAGAGAAATATAGTTAGAAAGGTAGACAAGTCAGATAAATAAACTTAAAACAAAACCCCCTCTCTAAATAACAGTACAAAGTGACAAGCTGAACTCTCGTTAAACAATGTCAAACTGCCTCCCAAATTTTCTGAGTATAAAAACCCCTTCACACTGTTGGAAAACTCTGTACAAAGCAAAAATAGTAGTTGTTCATTTATATCCAAAGGATAAAAAAAGTTATAAAAAGTTACAAAAGTTTTTGTAAAAGTTATAAAAAACTACTATAACTCATTATAGTATACTTAAATAAATCAACATTTACAAATAGCATACAGATATAACTTGGAAAACAGTATCAGATGTTATTTTCTCAGTCTACTCCTGATATTGGGATATGAAAAAACTTTATATAATAATAATGTGGCAATCTCAGGAAGCAAGTGTTCAACAGTATGAGAACTGACACAAAAGAAACCCACAGAGTAACAGAAAAGGACCCCCCAAATGCCTAATGTTTAAACTGGAAGTAGAAAAAGAAAATATAATCTTAACTAACCTACAAAAATTAAGCTCCCCCCAAAAAAGATACAAGGTTTTTACTGAGAGAAAAGGTCTCTTTAAAGGTGTCTCTGACGAATAATGAAAACAATGCTAATAATTAATACACAAAAAAAGATGTCAAATCACAAAATCCTGATCATAATTCTATAACGGTATATGAGACATTATCATTTTAGTGTATACCTAAAAAGAAATTTTTAGAAAAACGAAGAGTAAGGCAGCTGTTAGCAAAAAAATGATATTTCCCCAAAGGAGAATCTGCTTTGTAAATGGTTAATCTGAGAATATTTTGAAAAATAAAATGCACTTATATACTAATATTAATTATTACTAATATAGTTACCAAAACAAGAGAATTTCTCAAATACTAAGACTTTCACTGCCACTTGAAAAATGTCAGGAAATAACTCTAGTAAATGGTTTTCAAAATCTAATTTTTAAAAAAACTTACTACAAATGAAGTGAATAAAATTCTAGAGAATATGAGCATCTTAAGTAATTTTTTAAACTAATGAAAAACAAACAAAAAATTAAAGAATTTAATTAAGAAATTTTAGAAAGGTCCAGTTGCTCATGCCTATAATCCCAACATTTTGGGAGGCCAAGGCTTGAGGCCAGGAGTTCAAGACCAGACTAGGCAACTACACAATACCCCCATTCCTAATAAAAAAGAAAAACAAACAAACAAAAAACAAGCAGTCCTAGCTGCTCAGGAGGCTGAGGCAGCAGGATCATTTGCGCCTGGGAATTTGAGGATGCAAGTGAACTCTGAATCCCCACTGTACTCGAAAGTGCGTAATAAAAGGGGACCCTTGCTCAAAAAAAAAAAATTAAGGGAAAAAGTCTGACTTCTGGATGACAATAAAGACTAGTGTCAAGCAAAAATATCAATTTATTAGATAATTCCTTACACTAGGATATAAAGAAACTCTGTATAAAGAAATAAAAATCAGGCGGCGCCTGTGGCTCAAAAGGGTAGGGCACTGGCCCTATATTCTGGAGGTGGCGGGTTCAAACCCAGCCTAGGGCAAAAAAAAAAATAAATAAATAAAAAATCACCTTCAAAAATCAAGTTTAGAAGAGTAACCAAAAGTGGATACGAAAGGAATAAAGTTGAGATATCAACTATGAAAAAAAAGCATAAGTAATGACAAAATAGCAAATTACAACAAACGTCCATTGACACCATGAAATCTTTCCACTCTACAATGCTGCTTACTGTCCTGAATCAGGAGCAGCACACTACGCCCTGCAAGCCAAATACGGCCCCACTGTCTGTGTAGATCAAGTTTACTGAACCACAGAGATGCATTTAGTTTCGATTTGTCTACGGCTGCTTTCACCCTACAGTGGCAGGACCTTACATCCCACAAAGCCGAAAATATTTACCACTTGCATCTTTACAGAAAAAAAGATAGCCAACTCCATAACTACAAAAAGTGTTTCATCTTCATTTACTACCTCAGCAGATGTGTAAGTAACAGCATGGTGAGATTTATCTAGAGCCTCCTGTTCCAAAATCTGAAGTTCATATTCTGTGATATCTAATGACATCAAACAAGCTCTTTCCGCAGGATCTTTCCATTGATTGTCCTCCACGCAGTTGTCAAATCCATCTTCTTTTGGTTTCACATCATTTCCAGGTACATTTTCTCTATCCTCTTTAGCTAAATCGTCAGCTATCGGCTCCCATGTTGCATCTTGAGCGTTAGTAAACCGTGTATATTCTGTAATTTTTTTCTGCCGTGCTCCTACAGCAGCAGCTGAATCCTCCAATGATAAGATAAAATTACTGCTGGGCCTCATTTCAGCCTCAGTGTTAGTAGAACCAAATATCACCTTCCTCAGTGAATACAGATTTTCTGAAATACCCTTTAACAGGACAGAAACCCTAAAAAAAAATTTAAGCAAGGTTAATTCAATTTTAACTGCATTAACTATAAGGACAAGTTTTAAAGCATTTTAATAAGTAAAAGCTTTCTAAACTGACCTTCACTTCCAGAACCCGGTGTCTGAAAGTTCCTTTTCATTCCCTACTGTCCATATTTAGCACAGCTAGGAGGCTACTGTCTTAACCCAACTGGCTCTCTGCATCCAACAGCTGAGTTGTGGGCTTTATTCAGAGCCACTAGTGTTCAGCCTTAAATGTGTTTTTTCCAGTGATACTTTTTATTTTGTGGTGATTAACTTAATTAAATGGAAAGTGAATCAATGATACATGACCACAAAAACATGAAAAACTATTTTACTAAATTCTAATTTGAATACATAGAAAGACTTAGAAAATGTCTTCTAAAAAAAAAGTTGTTTGATACACTATGGTCAAAAGAATTGGAAAAGTTGGGAAGATGTATCTTAAAAATTCCTAGGATTCTGCACTCAGATTGCTTCAAGTATCTTAAGTAACCTTCCATTTAAAAAAAAAAACTAAAATTAGGAATTACAGATGATACATTATGGGTATGGCTCAAATAAGAAACACTCTGGAGAACTCTCAGCAGCAGGCCTACTAACTAGTAATGAAAATGATTGACATATACCAAAATATTGGGAAGAAACATACATTAATATTTTAAGCTAAAAGAAAATTTGTATCTAACTTTTCAACTCCCTGAGCAATTGCTAGTCCCAATTGTAACACATTAGTGTTCATGCTACTGTAAGTTGAATATGATGCTATTTCACAGCTTCAAAAGTCTCAAAACTGGACACACACATTTTGGAATAGAAAAAAGAACTCTTCCCATCAGTAGGTAAACATAACAAGGGAGAAAATACAAATAAGAAGCATATGAATAAATATGTACTGAATCCCTTCATTGCAGCTGCCCATATACATTGTTTTAACTTATTAACTTTAAATGGCTATATTATAACCAAACCTGGTTAGGTGGAATGGAAGACCACGGCGAGAGGATAAAATGAGGAATACTATCTTGTCTATTTGTTGTAGAGCTTATTAAAGAAATTTTAAAGTATTAGATGAAAGTAGAAATTAGAGGGACTGAAGGGAGGATGATGAGCAAAGACACGTTTTACTGTTTAATTAATGCTTTTGTTTAGGTCTTCTAATATGTCTGTATTAAAATCAATGCTTAATAAAATGTGACATGCCTTTTAAAATGTTATATTAATGACTCAAGTACAAATTTGATCTTTCATGCAAATAAACTATCAAAACTACTGAGTTTGTTTCCTGAGTTATTTCCACAATGGAAGCAGTATCATTAGGATGGACTCAAGCTAAAGTTGACAAAGTCTACAATAACAAACAAAATCAAGAGCACGATTAAAAGCAAAAAACTAATTTCAACATTCTAAAATTCTTTAAATCTTCTGAAGCACATTTAGCATTATATACATTATTCAAATATAAAAACTATATGCAAATAATTAAGCAGGAACAGATACATAACACAGTTAAATGCACATAGAATGCTGTAACATACAAACAGCAGCAGTGGCCCAGACCGACTGAAAGACTCTAAGGATTCATTTAGAGTCATTCAGAGATGACATGTTTCATATAAGACAACTAATATTTACTCTTATAAATACTGAAGGCTGTCCTGCCTTCTTCAGTAGGCACAGTGTGCTTTTCCTTCCATTTTTAGGACTGTTAATATGCACATTAGTAGCACCTGCAGACAGACTCAGCACCCAGCAGAATGGAGAGCAAATGACAGCAGTACAACACCACAGATCAAATTTAAATGAATGACTAAGCAGCACTCCACAAACCAACACCTTCAGGGTCCGCTGAAGCATAAAGCTGTTCCCTTCTGAAACAAACCTTCTCTCAGAGTTGTTAGTTCTAATTTTTATAATTTTGTCCACTCTTTCACTGATTGCAGCTGACTCCTAGCTGGCGTCATGTGTGTGTTATTCCTTATTCACACCATTTTCTTTCTTCCTTTTCTCACTCTTTCTCTTTCTTTTTTGGGGGGCATTGAAGGTGTGGGGACAGGGTCTAGCTCTGTTGCCATGGCTGGAGTATAGTGGCATAATCACAGCTCACTGTAGCCTCAAACTCCTGGGCTCAGGCAATCCTCCACCTCATCAGTAGCCTTCTGATTTCAAGATTGTTCTTTTTTAAACACCAAAGTAGACAAGAAAAGCTTCATCTTTCTCTGCTGCACCCCTTTTAATAAAAGGACTTGTTCTATAAAATTTGGATTCAACCAAAAGGCCACACTAAGGAGCTAGAAGCCTTAAGGCTGTAGGTTCCCCACTCCTGACTAAGATGAATGGTGTGCTCCACCACATCTGGCTAATTTTTTCAATTTTTTGTAAAGATAGTCCTCTCTATGTTGATCAGGCAGGTTAACTCCTGGACTCAAGCAGTCTTCCCATCTCAGCCTTCCAAAACACAGGGATCACAGGCAAGAGCTCTTGTGGTCCACTTTCATTTTAATAAGATATCAAACTGTATCTATAAACAAAAAGCAAAACTGCTCTGAATGTGGCCTCTTTTAACTCTGGAAATGCAGACAGTAAGTTTGAACACATGCTTTTGACGGTTCAGAGCCCTTTTTTCTTCCCTCTTCATTCCGAGGTATAATCTAGGTAAGTCAGATATTACCACAGATACGTTACAAATAACATGAAATAAGAGATTTAACTAGTTCTCATTTTGACACTAAAGCTTTACAAGACCCAATATTTCCCATTCTCAAGTTTTAAGAAAATCTATTTAGTTTTGTTTTGGTTTTTGAGACAGAGTCTCACTGTGTCACCCTGGGTGGAGTGCTGTAGCATCACAGCTCACAGCAACCTCAAACTCCCAGGCTTAAGCGATTCTCTTGCCTCAGCTTTCCAAGTAGCTGGGACTACAGTTGCCAGCCACAACACCCAGCTATTTTTTGTTGCAATTGTCACTGCTGTTTAGCTGGCCCAGGACATGTTTGAACCCGCCAGCCTTGGGGTACATGGCTGATGCCATAACCACTATACTCCAGGCACCGGAGCCAAAAACCTATTTAGTTTTGATATGTGAAAATTGATTACATAAATTGGGTCATTTATCGGACCCAACTACATCAGGGTAAAGGGGCCAGAGGGAAAAAGCACACAGAGTACTTTTGAGAATGTAATGCTCTGCCAGTCTGGCTGCTGAAACTGCCTGTATGAAGCTGAAACCAATCTCCCTGATGGCCAGTGCAACCCCCTGCTGCCACGCTAAGCCATAGAAGTGACTCTCCAGGGAGAGCTGGCCACATCCCCCAGTCTTTACTGGTGCCAGTGACTTAACTTTCAGAACAAAACATAACATTTTTCCTTTTCATAAAACCGCCAACCTTCTCTTTGCTCTTTGTACATACCAAAGACTACCTGCTCTATATATATGAACACCACAAACTACAATTCTTGCTTCCCAAATAAAACATTTTAGAAATTCATTTCTGGGCTCGGCGCCTGTGGCTCAAGCAGCTAAGGCGCCAGCCACATATACCTAAGGTGGCAGGTTCGAATCCAGCCCAGGCCCGCCAAACAACAATGACGGCTGCAACCAAAAAATTGCCAGGCGTTGTGGCGGGCGCCTGTGGTCCCAGCTACTTGGGAGGCTGAGGCAGGAGACTCGCTTGAGCCCAGGAGTTGGAGGTTGCTGTGAGCGTAATGCCATGGCACTCTACCCAGGGGGAAAGCTTGAGGCTCCGTCTCAAAAAAAAGAAATTCATTTCTGCATTTTAGTTGACTTTCACAGACATTATAAAGCAAAGCATTAAGCATATGCATTTTACATATAATTGATACTTCAGATCTAGTGTAAAAATCTAAAATGCATGTAAAACACCACATAAAGGGTGATTATTCTAATTTCATAAGGGAAAAACTGTAAAAATGAGTAAGAACTGGCTTTACTGGAATCCTTCCCCATTTGAAAGTTTGAATCTTTCTTCAGAAATTCTAAAGGTTACATAAAAACTACTAAACCATATTTCTGGAAGGAAAAATGACTTTGAAAAAGAGCTGAATTTCTGTACCATATTTTTAAATTTCTCAATCAAAATCTATCACAAATCTCATCCAGAAAAGAACACGTTGACACTGCATTTTTCAGAGTCAGTATTCTTTCTACTCCAACTATATTCTACATTCACATTGCTACAAGGTATTTTGGGGCCCAACATTGTATTATCACATTGTAATTGTTTACTGTTCAAGGCATTCCTGATTTTAGAGGTTTAAAGTCTTTCAGCAATTACAACCAGGTCAAGGTCTGATTCCAGAAAGCGTTAGCTACACAGCACCAGCAGTCCAAGGACTATTAATCTGTAGAAAACATTTGATCCAAATACCTCAAGTTCCTAATGCTGTTGCTATAAAACAATATTTGAAATTTGAATGCTTTTTGTTCTCATAGTCTAATGAGGTAGAATTCTTAAATAACCAAAAAAAAAAAAAAAAATGAAACTACTAGCTATAAAAGTTGCTTTTATTGGCTCCGTGCAGTGGCTCACACCTATAATCCTAGCACTCTGAGAAGCCAAGGAGGGCAGATTGCTTGAGCTCCAGAGCTTGAGAGCAGCCCCAGGAAGAACAAGATCCCCATATCTCTACTAAAAAATAGAAAAACGGTGGCAAGAGAATGGCTTGAGCCCAAGAGTTTGAGGTTGCTGTGAGCTATGACACCACAGCACTCTACCCAGGGTGACAGAGACTCTGTTTCAAAAAAAAGAAAAAGTTGCCTTATTTCAAGTGACCAAACTATAATTAAATACAAGACGCTCATAAACAGAAAGAAAAGGACAATTCTGAAATCTTAAATATTTTTGTAATGTGTACTTACTTTGACAAAAAATATAGATATAATTTTTAAAGGCATAATATAAATACTTTTTCATTTCATAAAACATCTATAGGATGTTCTCCCTTAACAACCAGAAAGATATTTCTCAATGTATTCTCGGTCTGTGTGCATATGTATTCAAGAAAATTTCTAAGAGTCTACCTTAATCAACAGTAATTCTTCATATATAGGAAAATGCAATGAGAACAGAATTGATTTTTTAAAAAAAGTTAATATTTAACCTTTGTGGATTTTCTAGTTTTCTGAAAGTGTCAGGAAGATGTGTAGCCAGATCCATCATCTCCTCAGAGATTGAAGTCAATTGTTTCTTCAGGTCACCAGGTAGGATTTCCTCCTCTAAAAAAAGAAAAAAAATCAATCTTAATTTTTAAACCACAAAGCAGCAACAGTCACTTAGCTGCTTCATTATACAGTAGTATCAGGGTTCATATTTTCATTTTCTTTCCTTAAATGAATTCCAGCAAAAAGACTTCCTTATACAACTCCCAAATCACCTCACTTTACATGCCTTTCAAAGATTTGCTATTTAAATGTGAAAATAAATGGCAAACAATCTGCATTCACAGAAGCCAGTACAAATGAGAATGTGAAACCACCTGCACTGTTTACCATCAGAAATAAGTCTAAGACATCTGGGCTGCTACTTCATTAATACTATTTGGTGAACATAACCTTACCCAAAACCTTATCCATAACCATCACCAACACTAAATGCCAGTTTCTAATCACTGATCATCTTCCAAGGTCTCATCTTCATTCTCTCTGTTACATCACTCTCTCCAGTAACAGCATAAAACCTGCCCACCTTTCCCAAACCCTTCCCCTGGTTAGAATTTCTTCATCGCCATTTATCTTATCAGCCAAAAAGCCCACCTCTTCTGAAGCATAAGATATAGGAATATATAACCTGCTATTCTTGATTACTATAATTATCTTGTGATCTCAAAATCACATCCTTCCATTCACTGAAGACTTAGTGCCTGATTCGTTAGCTGTTTTTCTCTCCACCACTACTTCTGTGAATTCAGCAGCCACAGAGAGGTTCCATCCAAGATTGTGGTCTCTTCAGCTCCCTGATCCATTCATTTCCAACGATCTTTTCTTCAACTGACTTTAGCCACCCAATTCTATAGTCATGTGCTTGACCTTGTAACTATAAATAAAATCACCTCTTCCAAACTTCAGCTGTGAGCATCCCCCTCTGGACGCCAGCATGCCCATCTTTCTCTCCAGCACCCTTTCCCACCAATTCTCTGATACTTTCAGAACCAATCTATTGATTCTACCACCTTTTCCTTACCTAATTGTATTCCCCACTCCCACTCCCCACCAATTCCTTACATTCATTTCTTACCCATGCCACAATAATTATCCCTTTAAATACAGAGATGCTCAAGTTCTTTGCTCTTCACTCCCTTTGTGGTACTTACCTGGCAAAACTCCCTGCTCTTGAATTTTAACCCAGCTTTTTTTGTTGTTGTTGCAGTTTTTGGCCAGGGCTGGGTTTCAACCCACCGCCTCCGGCATATGGAGCTGGTGCTCTACTCCTCTGAGCCACAGGTGCCGCCCAATTTTAACTCAGCTTTTTTATCTACTTGATCCCTACACCTAGTTGAATGTAGTTGAAAATAAAACACAACTATGATTATTCATTTTATTTTAAATTCTTGACACAGATCTCAAACATTTTCTTCCCGTGGTTTCAGAATACACCTCCTATATGTTCTCTTCCATTAACGCCCTTCTCCATCCTTTCTGATGCTCTCTCAGGCTGATGCGCCCTTGATAAACACCTCTTCTCATCTTCTCTGCATTCAGTCCTACTTTATCTCAACCAGTTTCCCTGCCCTCACTACCAACTTTGTACTTGTGAGTCTCAACGTTACTTCTCCAACCTCAACCTTTCCCAACTCCAGAATCACAATTCCATCCATAATCATCTAAAACTTAGCATGTCCAGCTCTAAAATCTAGATTTTTCTCACTTGAACCTATTCTTCCCATAATCGTTCCACTACAGCTGACCCTTCCATTCATCAGTTGTTCTGACCAAAATATCTTATTATTCTGTCTCTATCTCACCTCTCACAGAGAACTCACCAGCAATCTTCCACAAAGCACCTTCAAAATGTCTATAGAATCAATCACTTCCCACCACCTCTACTGCTCCTAGTGTATCCAAACAACTATTGCTTCTTGCCTGGACTATTACAACAGCCTCCTAACTCCCCACCTAAACACTTGCACTCCTACAGCAGCCAGAAAATCCTTTTAAAACAAAATTTTAATCATGTCATTCTCCTGCTCAACACCCTCTAAGGGTTCTCCATCATATTTATTTTCCTTAATAAGACGGATTCATAGTCTACAAGGCCCTAAAAGATCGGCCCCAAGCTGCCTCCCCAGCCTCATTTCCTAACTCATTTCACTTCAAATGTGCTCACCGTTCAGCAAAGGAGGCGGGCAACCACTCGCACAGGCATTCACCTTCCTCCAATCCTGCTATGCTCTTCCCTGGGATACCCACAGGACTTGCTCCCTGACTTCAGTCAAATGCAGTGAAGGGGCTTGCTCTGTTCTGTGCAGTGAATACTCCCCAGCAATTTTAACAGTGCCTGACACATAGTGAGTACTCAGCAAACATGTGTTGTAGATTTCAATAAATATTACCTTTCCAAACTAAGCTTCTAAAAACCAAGTTAATACAAGCTTTAATTTTTAAAATAACCAAAACAACCTCCTAAGAAAAAGCTGTTTTCCAATCAGGGCCTATAGACTGGGCCCCTAGTCTCAGCTACCTGGGAGGATCACAGGAGGGCAGGAGTTTGAAACCAACTGGGGCAACACAGTAAGAACCCTTCTATTAAAAAAAAAAAAAAAAAGCTGTTTTCATATACTTATTCTGACTCACTCCTCTATCCATATTAGCTATTTCCACCCACATTCTCCTGAGGCCATGGTTAGCACCTTCATGTGACCAATACCTGTGTACCCTTTTCTGTTTTAATAGCACTTGCTCCAAACGACCACACCTTGAAACACTCTTCTGTCACCCAGTACACAAAGCTGCTGTGTTAAAGGTTACAAATGACTGCCACATTGCCAAATCTAATAATTAATTCTAAGTCCTCGGTTTCTCCAACTCTCAGCACACTTTAAAACAGTTGATAACATCCTCCACTTGGTGCTCTGCACAACACACCACCTTATTTCCTCCTGTGCCTACGGCGACTCCTCTGGGGTCCCCTCCCCCACACAAACGTCAAACACTAAGAGTTACTCGGGACTCTCTCTATTCTCTAACTCAAACTGTCCTCTGAGTTACACCCTATAGATCTAAATGTCGACTGAACACCTCACCTTTAATAGACCTAAAATCAACTGGGTGACTTATCCCCAAATCTTGTTCTTCCTGGTCAAAGTTTTCCATCCCTGTTGCTCACATCAGCTACCCAGGA